CGACTGACCAGGGACGAATTGCAGAAGCAGTCTGTCTCCAAGTACCAGAGCACAAGAAAGATCCAACTGTACTGTTATTTGACCTAAATCGTCCAGCGGGAGCTCAACCAATAGGCAAAATGACAGAAGGAAAAGTGTCTGAGTGGGAATCTAAAGCCCCTCTGCACTCTCCCTCGTACATCTGCTCACACCCTATGTGTACCTGTGCCATTAGCAATACTGTCTTGTTAAACAGCCTGGTAGATACGGAAGTAGATCTTTCAACGGAAGGACAAGGATTCATACCGACGGCAGTGTTTGGCTCTAAGAAGTATAAACCTGTCACTTTGAAAGTCAAACCGGTCCTTGCCTCCCTACCAGAGAAGTTTCGTATTGTGAGAGATATAAAGGGGGATCCTCTAGCAGAGATGCCTAAGTTATCTACTCAACCTCCAGAATTTAAACCGACTGGAAGGTATACTCAAGAGAGAAAAGAAATTATAGACAAGGTACATGAAGGAGACTTCTTGTGGCCTGTGGAACGTAAGCTAATGCATCATTTCATGATGGAACAAGAGAGGGGTTTCGTCTGGAATGACGAGGAAAGAGGACACTTCAAGGAGGAATACTTTCCGCCGGTAGAAATGCCAGTGATACCTCATACTCCTTGGGTACTAAAGAATATACCCATTCCACCGGCACTCTACCCTGAAGTATGTAAGATCATACAGATGAAAATCAATGCTGGAGTATATGAGCCTTCGAACTCGTCATATCGCTCTCGTTGGTTTACCGTTGTAAAGAAAGATGGAAAGAGCTTGCGATTAGTCCATAGTCTAGAACCCCTCAATGCAGTGACTATTGCTCACTCAGGGATTCCACCGGCCACAGACGAGCTTGCAGCGCATTTCGCCAGAAGAGCTTGTGGAGGTGTATTAGATTTGTATGTTGGATACGACGAAAGGCTTTTAGCTGAATCTAGTCGTGACTATACTACCTTTCAAATCCCTTTTGGAGCTCTAAGACTAGTAACCCTTCCCATGGGATGGACTAACTCAGTACCCATCTTCCATGACGATGTGACTTACATTCTCAAAGATGAAATACCTCACACTACTGTCCCTTACATAGACGATGTGGCAATTAGGGGTCCGAAGACAAGGTACGAACGTTCTGACAGAAGTTATGAAATGATACCGGGGAACCCTGGTATTAGGCGATTCGTCTGGGAACACTTCGAAAACCTAAACAGAGTGGTCCAAAGAATGAAATATGCAGGCGGAACGTTCTCTGGATATAAAGCCATCCTATGTGCAGATGAGTTTCAAGTAGTAGGACATACCTGTAGCTACGAAGGGAGGAAACCTGATCAAAGTAAAGTTGCAACCATTTTAAATTGGGAGCAATTTGAAAACGTCAGTAACATTCGAGCCTTCCTAGGGACTACTGGTGTCCTACGGATGTTTATCAAAGATTATGCTAAGAAGGCAAACGGTTTAACAAAGTTGTTACGAAAAGATAGTAGGTTTGAAATGGGACCAGATCAATACCGTTCGGTCTCAAACCTAAAGGAAGCTGTAGTGGATTGTCCATGCCTAGGGAACATAAACCTAGAAAGCAGCGGGGAGGTAATACTTTCCGTGGATACTTCTTACATGGCTGCCAGATTCTATATTCGACAACTAAGTGCCGACGGAGACAAAGCTAAAACTAAATTTATACGTTTTGGCTCTATTACTCTAAATGACAGAGAAGCAAGATTTTCACAACCAAAGAGAGAACTATATGGGTTATATCAAACCTTGTTAGCGACAAAGCATTTATTGTATGGCGTCAGAAATCTAGTAATAGAAACTGATGCCAAGTACATCAAGGGGATGCTTCAACATCCAGATGAAGCCCCAAATGCTGCTATCAATCAATGGATAGAACAAATCCTAATGTTTCACTTCACTCTAAGGCATGTGGAAGGGAAGACTTTTGGGCCTGACGGTTTGTCCTGGCGGAAACCTTCCAAAGGTGACAAGGAATACCCCAACCCAGAAGACGAATACTATCATGATGTTGAGCCTTTCAGGTTCGAGGTTGAAACAGGTAACGATGATACTACCTTGGAATATGATGAATTCAAGGAAGGCATTGATACCAGGGGTGGGTTCCTGATCGACACTTCCCTTGGAAGTTTCATGAGAGACGTAATGGAAAAGCGAGATATGGAGTACCTAACTAGGGCACAAGTTGCGGGTTACTGTCCCGAAGGCGCAAAGATTGTGGCCCAGATGCCTCAGTTAATGCTTCCGACGGAAGATGAAAACGAACCCTACAGTGACAAGCACAGGTCTCCAAAAGCAAGACAGATGGATGAGGATTTACTTGTCATTAGGAAATGGTTAAGGGATCCCAAAACAAGACCAGAAGGAATGACTGACAGAAGGTACAAGAACTTTGTTACCTTTGGAAGGAAGTTCTTTTTCAATGAAGAAAGAATGTATCGAAGAGATCCAGATGGTAAACACAGGTTAGTTGTTCCAAAAGAACAACGAATGTATTTACTATTTGCAGCTCACGATAGTCTGGGACACCGAGGGGTATTTGCGACCAAGTCTCTATTGCAAGAACGTTTTTGGTGGCCAGATTTGGAGGCAGATGTTAACTTTTATGTTAAATACTGCCACATCTGCCAAACCCGCCTGAAGGACTACGTAAAGATGCCTCCAAAGGTAACACCTACGCCCTCATTGTTCCAGGTTATGCATACAGATACTATGCATATGCCGATAGCTTCCGAAGGAAAGAAGTATATAGTCCACGGAAGGTGCGCCATGAGTTCTTGGATGGAAGGGAGACCTCTGGCCAAGGAGAACCAAAGAACCATAGGTGAATGGTTGTTCGAAGATGTGATTTGCAGATGGGGATGTTTAGCAATGCTAATCTCAGATAATGGGGGAGCATTCAAAGCAGCTCTATCGTATTTGGAGAAAAGATATGGGATAAAAGGGATTCAAATATCAGGCTACAATTCGCAAGCCAACGGAAAGATTGAGAGACCTCATTGGGATGTCCGTCAGGCTCTTTATAAAGCTTGTGACGGAGATGTCAAAAAGTGGGCTCAAAGGTTTCTGCTGGTAATGTGGGCGGACCGGATTACCACAAGGAAACAGATGGGTTGTTCCCCCTTCTTTGCTGTTACTGGTGCCATGCCTGTTCTTCCATTTGATATTGTTCAAGCAACCTGGCTAGTACAAGTACCTGATAGGACCCTTTCCTGGGCAGAACTCATTGGGGAAAGAGCCAAGGCCCTAGCTTTGCATACCTTGGAAGTCGACAGGATCATTGAAAGCATAGAAAAGAAGAAAATTAAAGATACCTTGAGATACTTAGACACTCACAAGGCTAAAGTTCGTAATTGGAATTTTAAGCCTGGGTCTCTAAGACTAGTAAGAAATACAGCAATAGAAAAATCACTCAACAGGAAGTTGAAACCACGTTTCCTATGGCCATGTATAGTTGTCCGATGGACAATCGGAGGGTCTTACGTTCTGGCGGAAATGGATGGGTCTGTCTTGCAAAATAAGATAGCGGCTTTCCGTGTCTATCCATATCATGCCCGACGAAAGATAAAGCTGCCTGACAATCTGACAGGACTCACTGGTTTATCCGAAGGTGAACTGGAGGAAATCATAAATGGTCCTGAGCCAGATGACACGCCTCCGGTTGAACTAGGAACAGAAGGTACCATCGAGGAACTTCCGGCAGAAGTACCAGAAGATGAAGGGTGGTCAAGTACTTCCGAAGAATAGTGCCCGACTAGGAAAGACTTTGCCACGCCTCTAGGTTTAGTCATGAAGGCGTGACTTGTAGCATCACATTATGAGAAAGCCTTCCCAAAAAGGCGAGCGATTCGAGTGAGGCGCAATTCAACAGGACGGATTCAAACCGAGGAGTCTAGGGGTAGGACAACTACCACTAGCCTTGGTAGCCAGTCTACCAGACTGCCGTGCCATGCTGAACGAGTCCTGTCTGGTAGAAGAAGTAATGAAAGAACTAAATAAGAAAGTAAAGAGAGATCCGAAGTAAGAAAAAGCGATAACCAAAGAATTCCGCGAATGGGTAGTCTTGGATTCGAACCAAGGGGCTCTTGCTAGCGTAAAGAGACTTGAGAGAGGGCATTGCCACTATGCCATCCTACCATGGCTGATAACAAAGTTACCTTTAGTTTGGCCAAGCATAATTAGCTGTGGAAAGCTTTTGCCACCGGAACAAAACCTTCTGGTGGAACAGAAGAAATTAAGACTGGAATGAGACGTCCAACAGAAGAGTGACATCAGAAGGAACCCGACAGATAAAAACATCAAATCCAGGAATACCATTGAGTAGCCCGGGATTTGAACCAGGAGACTCTTGCGAGTTGTGGGAAACTCTCAAGAGGGCATTACCACTATGCCAAACTACCATGATGGGTAGGGAGGTTGCCTTTAGGTTGACCAGCACATGCCTTCAACTGTGGCAAACCTGCGCCACCGGAATAAAAGAACAAACGAGACATGTCCGAGGGATAAAAAGATCATCAAAGAGTTTGCGAATGAGCAGTCCTTGGATTCGAACCAAGAGCTCTTGCGAGGGGTTTACACCCTCGAAAGACGGCTTTACCACTGCACCGTACTACCGTGCTGGACGAGGAGGTAGCTTTTACTTCGATTACCAAAAAGGGGGGCTGTGGCAAAAGTTTGCCACGTGACTAAGTATTTTGCCTCTTCTGGTGGATGAAAAAGCACCAACTTCTTCAGGGAGCATGGGGCAGCCCTGGATTCGAACCAGGCACTGTCTCATGGCGCAGTACGCTAGAGACAGGGCACTAACCACTGTGCCAAACTGCCCATGATGGGAGAGAGAACGCGGGCCTCTTGACCAAATAGGTGGTGAAAGTGTTGAGCAAGAAACAACCTCCGACAGGCACTAGAAAGTAAAGAGTTTTGTTTACCTTCAGAAGAAAAAGGGGTACATCGAATGGTCTGAACCATTGGCAGTCTTGGAGTCAAACCAAGACTCCTTCGAGGCATCAGCCACAAGGAAGATGCTAACCACTGCACCATACTGCCATGTTTGGGAAGTTCGATGAGATCTTGTTAACCGACACAGGGTACTCGACATCCTCTCGACATCTTCCGCCGGAAAGACGTGAAGTACCAGAACTGCGTAGCCTCCGGAAACAGAGAAAAAGATAGAAGAGACAAAAAGTTATACCTGTTCTGCTTTATTGACAGCATTGGAGTCGAACCAAAGACCCTTTCGAGGTAGAACTACGAAAGAGGATGCTAGCCACTGCACCATACTGCCGTGATTGGGAAACAGATCCAAACTTCTTGGCCAACAAAGAAAGTCTTCCGCCGGAAAAGGCAAGAACACCGTTTAATCTCCGAAGGAAAAACCAAATGAGGAGAACTTTTGGTCTAAGGACAACCTTGGATTCGAACCAAGAACCTCATCTTTCATAGCCAAGGGGGGTGACCAATCGAAATGAGGCAGTGACCACTACACCATATTGCCCGTGCTGAACCAGACAACGTCGGCTTGTTTGAGCAAAAATGGAAAAGTGGCGCGAAACGTGACCAGAAGGCTTGATTACAAGAAAACAATTGCACAAAATTTCCATATTTGGAGCATACTACATACAGACACGTCTAAATAACTAAGACAAACGCCCTGCTCCTTCGGATAGACACAGAGATTCTACCGACGGACACAAAGTCAGAAAATAGTCAGAACTGACTAACTGGAAGGAACTCACTATCAGTAAACTAGTCCTGCTGGGTCTGGGAGGTTCCCTCGGAACCAGTGTCGTCAACACTCTTATCCTGATCCTGGTCTTGAGAACTCTTGACAGAAGTGTTATTGGCAGTAGGAGTCGCAACCACGGAAGCTTCGACGTTTCCCTCGGAAGTACCGTTAGTTCCAGCTGTACCCCTACGAGGACAGTCCTAAAAGAATAAGAATAATAAGAAAGAAGAAAAGGGTCCATGAGCAGAAGACATACCTCACGACAATGATACGCAGCCCTAAAAGCTTTGTTCCAATCGATGAATCCCCAGGAAGCAGCTCTGGGATCATGAGGCAAAGGTGCTCCCTTGGGAATGAGAACCATTTCGACTTCCCCAGTGTTTGGATTCAGGTAGTAGGCAATACGGGGTGGCGTTCCGTCCCCAGTAATACCATTGCGAGCAGAAGAGTTAGAGTTGGATGGGTTGGAGTTCAAACCGGGCATATTAGCTGATAGGTTACCTTGGAACAAGTCGTCCACTTATAACTATCAGTCTGAATATTTGCTTCCGGCGGATAATTCTCAATTCAGACTAAGATGGTTTCTGACGATCGAACGCATGTTTTTGGCACAGTTTTTATTATCGCCTACAGGAAAAGATTTCACAGAGATAAGAGAACGACTACGGTCAGAGAAAGGAGTGTGGAGTAATTGATAAAGAAAAATTTAAGAAAAAGATGCAGAAAAATTATTTAGCGCCATCAGACGGTTTTGTTGGAGTCGGAAGTGTCGGTTTTGGCTTCCGAAGGGGCAGCAGTAGCTGGAGCTGAAGCTGTGGCTACTGCTTCCTCAGGTACAGACTCCATATGACTATCAGGGTCGGCCTCAACTGTGGAAATGACGCCAGTTCCTCCGGAACTTGGACCAGCCACAACATTCGACGGTCCGGCGGAAAGACCAGTAATATTGACCAGCTGGTGAAGACCATCAATCTCGGGACCAGAGAGCAAAGCAGCATTTTCCCCAAGAAGATCTTGGAGAATTTGGATGGAGCCTTGCAGATGGTTCATCTGCAAGACCATTTCCAATGCGGAAGTGCGGATCCTGGCCTCAAGCATCGATATTGCCTCAAGAACACGACGAGTGCCCGAAGTGCCCGCACCAGTGGCCGACGGAAGTAACGCTTCCTGGTACTCCCTGGCTAGATGAAGGACAGTCACCAGACCAGCCTCAGAAAGGGGCGAAAGGTCCTCTGTCGAAAATTTCAGACAGAAATTTGAAACCATAACATAGTGAAAGAAAGCTTACGAAGGATACCCTGGACGGCTCCAGGATTAATCAGGTGGTACTGATCCCGCAAGGCTTGAACTTGACGGACAGTGGTAGCAGCCTCTTCCGAGTCTGCTCGAGCTTGTTTCCGACTGAGTTCCTGTCCGGCGGAAACAGTCTTCTGAGCCTGGAAACCCGGGGATGAGAAAATATAACGAAGACAGAAAGACCGCAGCAAACCTGGTCAACTAGTTCGGCGGTCGAAATCGTAGTCTCCTGCAATAAGCGTAATAGTGGCTTTAGTTGACTCCATACAAAAGTAAGGAAGCTCAACAGCGTTACCAATTGATGGGGAGTACGAGGACGACTAGCACGCTGAGTTGTCTAAGGAAAGAGCAATCACTACCATGCAAATGAAAGGAGAAAGTTGGAGATAATACCGCTGGGGCCTCATCATCACTAATGGGGATGGGTTCTTCCTTTTTCTTGCCTTTCTTCTTTTTGGAAGATTTGGTAGCCTAAACCAATTGGGATATCAATTTGAAAAGTCAGAATCTAAAGAAAGGGGGACCCTACACTACTTCCTTCGGAAGTACCTTTTCCCTCGGATGTTTTTGGTGGAGGAGTAGGTGCGGTCTCCGCCATCTCCACATCTCCAGAAGAGACACGGACACTGGCTGGAGTGTGACTAGAAGAAACAATAGAACGGTTGGTAGCAGGCCTAGGTGCACCAATGTAAGACCCCCCACAGGGAGGTCTCTGCGAAGGACGACCACCCCCTTCCGACTGGAACCAAGATTTTAGTCTAAGAAATTACCTCGGGAAGAGATTTGAAAATAACCCACACAGTACGATTGACGGTTTTCAGAAATGTCTCAATACCGACCGACAAATGATTGAACTTCGCCATGGGATTGAGGCATTTCCAAAGACAAGGCATTGAAAACAGCTTCCACAGAGCGGTGTCGAGGCAAGAACTCATTCTCCATAAACTCAGTATCCTGTAAAAGGGACGGTGCTTCTGGAGTATGAGTAATGTCTGCCTGAAGAAAACAGATTATCAGTCGGAAACGACTTTACAATGTTGATGGAGAAACCTACTAAGACTATAAGGACAGCCTCAGCATCAGCACAACTTTGATAGTTGTAACGACCTTGGTTGTCCTCAAGTTGGTTCTGCAGATCGACTGCACGGTTCCGAAGAGTGTTTCGAAGGGTGTCCAACTGCTTGGGTAGATCACTCATAGTGGACAATGAAGTAGAAACGGATTCAAATGTGAAGTGAGATTTCAGACGGAAGCAAAGTTAGAGTCCTGGCAAATGCGGAACCTTTTATACTGAGATGGGCCTAACCTATGGGTTGGGGACAACCATTTTCAGTAAGGGGGAGATATAAGGTGGCATGGAGGAAACGACCTATAGCCACAAAATTTTGCCGTCGGTAAAATGACGCATTTTATCGAAAAAGGATCTAACAGCATTGCAACAAAAGACAACTGACAAAATGAACAAGTACACAATTTCCGCTGGAAATCATGCACACCCCAAACACGGTGTTCTAATATCCGCCGGAAGATTTTACTTGTTAAATTTCGAGATCTCAGTTATGCCTCACATAGACAATCACACTCAGAAGGACAAACAGTTCACAATCAGATGGTATTTGAATGGCACTAGGAATACAAATAGAGGTGCCAGAAAGATACATCAAAAGCACAATGATAGCAAGATATAGCAAGGGTAACAAAAGAGATACAAAGGTACTTGGTATACAACAAATAGTACCAGTACAAGACAGCAAGAACAAGATAGCACATTGAGATACAGATACAATAAAACAGCTACAGAAAAGCATCAAAGTCCAAAAAAAACTCGTCTGACGGAATGGTCCCAGGCGTGTCAACTTCAGAGTCCGAGGGCACAAAATTGGTTGCGATACCACCTAATTCTTGTGAGTTTTGCGACCAGTTTTGCGAGTCGTAGATCCTGAACCCTGTAAGAAAAATATTACCAACTGAGAAAGAAGTTGAAGAAACAAGAACTTACTTGACGAGCTGGAGAGGTATCGGCACCCTCCTGAAGATATTCGCGTGGGGGAGGATTCTTCCTCCTGGGAGCTCCAGGAGGAAGGTCAGAGTGCTTCTCGAACCACTCGACAAGTTCCGGCGGAAGTTCAAACTGGCCATCCTCGTCGCAGTTCGCTCCTTCCACCAGATACTCGATCCCGAAGGTCTCCTGGCTGGACTCCAAGTTGGCAATTTCCTCCTTCAAAGCTGAAGAGGAGCGAGAGTTGTTGGACAACTCCTCTAGCCTTCCGGGGATTGCAGCCTCTGCCTTGACCAGACTGGCGGCGACGCGGTAGGAGGAGGTGGAAAGGTTGCTAGCTGCCAACGCATAATTGGCAGCAGCAAGTTCGAACTGGAGTTGTGCCCTAGACTTGTCCTGGGCCAAAGCATTGAGATCTGGAGAAAAAGTTATAGACAAGCATTTCAGACAGAAGAATAGATACCTACGGGCTAAAGAGAACTTAGCATGTTCAGAGGCCAAATCCAGGCTCCGCCCAAGTTTCAACGGAGCGAAGTTGCACCCAGTGCCAGACTTGATGCAATTCAAGCAGGCTTGGCTAGCGCTCCCACGGACATAGCAGACCTTCGAGGCCAAGCCACAATGGAGGCAAGGCTCTTGGACAGGCTAATAAGATAATTTTGAAAAAGAGAACAAGTCATAGGACGGATGGGGACTTACCTTCATGCCAGCGGAGACTCGGTCTTCCACCTGGATCTGACTTGCGCGAGTAGCGGCTGCTATCTCCTTCTCCAAGTACTTCACTCCATAGACATTGGGTGGCAACACATAGTCGCCAATGACCCTCTGTTGGTTGGAAGTCAAACTTCCAGTGGACGGTCGAGGAGGATCAGCATGACCTTTTCCTTTAGCTGCTGAAGGGATTCGTTCCTCTTCGGAGCTGTCCTCGATGAACTCCTGACTTTTGTACACCCCTTGAAGGTCCAAACGATTCTTGCAGGCGGGAAGTTGGCGAGTTGGACAGACTGTCTCAGGAATAGGGGCTAG